AAAAAGCAATGAAAGAATTGCTCATCACCGGTTTTCTGCGAGGTCATCATCATCATGAACAGCCTTTACTAGTCTACTGTTGGACATAGGCCTCAGAAAAGAGGTTTAGGCCTACTATACCACTCTGGCCAGACGGGCCGTGGTTCTGTGAGGCCGTGGTACTCATGATAAAGATTACATTACAAACATTTACTAAAAATAATTAAAATCAGTATTTTGTATTACATAATCCGTTGAAAAAATTGTACGAGTAAGTGCCGAGAGGCCAGCAAAAAACCATTTATAGCTGCGTGGCCTTGTGTTCGATGTTGATTATTACGTCATCACAACAAACAGAGCCTTGAACTTGACAGTCATTTGTTAGACTATTGTTACCACTGTACGCTTCTTCTTGTTTTGGTTTTTCTACGGTGTTGAAATAACATGGAACGGGTCCTCCCTAGGGTGAGACCGGTTGTGGTGGTGGTTTTTAGTAGAAACATCACATACTCCTGGCTCCTATGTTCCAAAAATCTCCTCTCGCTCCTATGTTATGTGTCAAAAAACAAAAAAAGTCCTGTAGTTCCTGTAGTGAAGTTTAGTTACCTTGCAGTGTTCTGAATGTTAATTAATTGTGTTTTAAAATTAAAAAATAATAGGAGTATTAAAAGAAAATCAAAACTGAAAATATGCGAACTCAACATCTGACTTGCGGCAAAATTAGTCATGTTTTTAGTTATAAAAAATATTTTTATGGTCATGTAATTTTTCCGTAATCGTAAAGAGGTTTAAAACTTTTAAGTCAGTGTTGATTTATAAAGAAGAGACGACATACGAATATGTACTTAATAAAAGGGGAGGTCTTATAAAATTTTCCTAGGAGAGCCATACTTCGGCACAAATATAGTCCAGACTCGACGTGATACCATATCCTCGTAGAAAGCAGGTGCAGGGTGGTTCTTTCGTTGCTTTCCAAAGGAGCATTTAATCTCACCAGTTGACCCATCTCCTTGTTTGCCCCGATACTATACCATATCAAAAAAATTGAAACGCGTGGTCTACGTAACCTTTAATGAAAATAGTAATTTTAGTACGTGCAAAGTCCAAACCGTTGGGTTCGGATTACGGCGTCGACCGAAATGTAAATATTATTTGAAATTGAAACTTGAAGTATTGATTTATCATTGATTGACTGATTAACAACGCAGATCCTAAACCGCTTTGGCTCCAAACTTTGCCAGTTGATACTTTTATGTTTGCAGCACTCACTAAAAAGGTAAAATAAGGGATGAACGGTTGAATAGAATTTCGTCATTTTCAAAGTCAGAAAGACTAAGTAAGAAAAAATCTTAGCAGGAAAAACATCTACAAGGAAAGTGCGAAACAGAATAAATTAAAAAAGCGAAGGAGGTATTTGCCTCCAAACAGACCGGGTTGTCGGTGTCATATACTCGCTGGAGTCCCTAGGATTAGTTTAAAATTAACATAGCTTTTCGGTATCTGGATAAAGGATTACATTTTTATTGATTAAATGTTTATCCCCTATAATCCGAATATCTGAATTTATTTTCGAACATTGTACATTTGTCGTGGGTTCGATTCCCACCCAATGCAAATATTTGTGTAATGAGCACGATCGTTTGTTCTGTGTCTGGGTGTAATTTATCTATAATATGTATGTATTTAGAAATATATAAGTATGTTTATCAGAGGTCTGGTTACCATAGCACAGGCTCTGCCTAGTTTGGGATCAGACAGCCACGTGTGAGATATGTGAGGTTATTATTTTGGATTTTTCATCGTTTCTATGTCACAGTTGGCAAACGAATCGTTGGATCATCTGAGGGCCAAGCGCGAGTTTATTTCACTTCTACTCGATCGTCACGGTGACCGCGTTCGGCGCTACGATTGGCCCGCGCTGAAATCTCCACCAATCACAACGCTAAACGCGGTCGCCGTCGAGAGCAAGTCGATGTGAAATAAACTCGCACCCGGCCCTCTGATGGCAAATGACTAGGGCTTGTGCGGTGCGGTTGTGTGCGACTGTGACGTGTGTCGAGTTATCTTTATTGTTATTAAATACTCAATAATAATTTAGTTTATATCATCACTTCAACTTCTGTCATTGAAACATATTTCTTTTCTCTTTAAAACAATGAGTGTTATGTCTCCTCGGATCCTTACGAGAACTCTCTCGAAAGATATCATGTGACGTTAAATAAATTATGTCGCTGTTTATATCTGTCTGTTCTTTGTCACGTTTTTTCTTGTTTAACGTTGATGTGGTAAATGTTCTGATACTATATCTACATTCTATACATAAATCTGGCTTTAAAGTTTGTAATTGGCTTTTAGTTTCGGTGGTTAGTGATAGAGCTAGTTTGTCGTGGGAGAGCCATGCTTCGGCACGAATGGGCCGGCTCGACCGGAGTGATACCACGACCTCACAGAAAACCGGTGTTAAGCAATTATTTCGTTGCCTTTCACTGAGTGAGTGAGGTTACCGGAGCCCAAATCCACCCTCAAGCTGACTCGAGCGGGAGTGACTCCAAGGGCGGCAACGCACTTGTGACTTTTGAGTTGCGGGTGTCCATGGGCGGATGTGGTTGCTTGCCATCAGATGACCCGTCTGCTCGTTTGCCCCCTTATACCATAAAAAAAAAACTGTTAAGCAATAGGTTAAGGATTCAATTCCCACTCAGAACATATAATTGTGTGATAAGCACGATTATGTGTTGTGTGTGTGAAAATGTGTGTGTAAATATACATAAATAAGTGCATAAATACATCAGCAGTCTGGTTACCGTAGTATAGGCTATACATAGTATGGGATGGGACGGCAGTATGTGAGATTTTGTGTCCAGTTACCTATTTATTGATTTATTATTTTACTTGCGAGATGCAGAAAAATGCTGAGCGACATTACTCTCAGTAGACCGGGCTATATATATTTACCATACTCTTGTATTAAACAGGTCATAGGTTATGATGATACATTTGAATTTTAGTTAAGTAATAAATTATGTGAGTAACAATCGCACCGTGGTGACGGATTAAGAATACAGAGTGTCACCACCCCTATTCATCCCGTGGGTGTCGTAAGAGCCGAATAAGGGACTAAACTACACAGGACAACAGCACTACAAAGAGAAGGAAAATTTGAAACAAACCCTATACCGACCCGTTTGGCCAGCGTGGTATAGTAGACGAAAACATCCTTTCTATAGAGAGGTCTATGTCCAGCAGTGGACTAGTAGAGGCTGTTAAATCGGACCTGTTGTCACGCGCTGTAAAAAATGTTTCGTTCAGAGAATAAAATGTTACTCTATACAAGATTACAATGAAGTATTTCTGAAGTGAATAATTTTATAAAGTTAATATAAGGTAAAGGCTTTCATGGTCATGGTGAGTTATACGCTCATTCATCTAAATAATATTCTATGTGGATTTTTTATGTGACAGTAAAGTATATATTGTTTTGAACTAAATCCAAAACAATTCATACTTAGCTCATTCCTAGTAAGTATTTCTTAGATTTAAATAAATCTGTTGCTGTTATTAATTATTTTAAATAAAGAACAAGCTCAAAAAATTATCTATGAACTGATTAAGATGATTCTTATATACCTAATAAGTTAATTTGTTTAAAAAAAAAATAACTTTATTGTACCCAAAAATTGCTAATGAAACCTTTTTCCTAAGCAAATTGTTTGTCAGTAAACTGTATGTAATCTACCGTAATAGATGTATATTAAACTAGCTGAACCTCGTCTGCGTCTCTCAATAGTAATAAATTTTCTCCGTTTTTGAAACATTCTTCATTGGTGCTCCGCTCCTATTGGTCTTAGCGTGATGATATATAGCCTATAGCCTTCCTCGATAAATGGGCTATCTAACACTGAAAGAATTTTTCAAATCGGACCAGTAGTTCCTGAGATTAGCGCGTTCAAACAAACAAACAAACAAACTCTTCAGCTTTATCTTAATATATATAAATCTCGTGTCACAATGTTTGTCCTCAATGGACTCCTAAACCACTAAACCGATTATAATAAAATTCGCACACCATGTGCAGTTCGATCCAACTTGAGAGATAGGATAGTTTAAATCTCAAATTATAGTCGCAATTTTAATTTATTGCTAATTATTTGTCTGTTATTATTTGACAGTCACAATTATCTGTTAACTCCAAATGCTTCTAACAGATGTCGATACCTTTCAACTGGGTTGAGTAAGTAATCAATAGATGGCGCTGCTATGATAAATCTACGAACGTGTCATATAAGCTACATTTTAACAGCATAATTACCACGTGTTGTTGAAGCTATAAAATTAATTAAATTTATTTTGTAGTGAACGAAATACCGTATAATTCAATTATTTCCGCTTTTTAAATTTTTGGTGTATGTCGATACCTTTCGACTGGGTTGAGTAAGTAATCAATAGATGGCGCTGCTATGGTAAATCTACGAACGTGTCATATAAGCTACATTTTAACAGCATAATTACCACGTGTTGTTGACGCTATAAAATTAATTAAATTTATTTTGTAGGGTAATGCTTTCATTTTACCTTCAAGCTACATCGGCAGTCCACGGAACATGCAGGAATACATACAAGATGCGATGACTTACGTACGTCATTACGGCTGACCGGATTTATTTATTACATTCACATGTAATCCGAATTGGGAAGAGATACAAACTTTACTATTGCCAGGACAACAAGCCATTCATCGTCATGATTTAACTGCACGTGTGTTTAAACAAAAATTGAAATCCTTAATTGATTTTATTGTTAAATATTCAATTTTTGGTATCACACGTTGTTGGCTGTATACGATAGAGTGGCAAAAGCGAGGTTTGCCTCATGCCCACATTTTGGTTTGGCTTAAAGATAGAATCCGTCCTGAAGAATTCGATCAAATAATTTCAGCCGAAATTCCAGACCCATTAATTGATCAAGAATTATTTGATATTGTCACCAAACACATGATCCATGGGCCATGCGGTGCTTTCAACATGACGTCACCGTGCATGGAAAATGGAAAATGTAAAAAAAAGTTCCCAAAGCCGCATACGAATGACACGATCACGGATATTGATGGTTATCCAATGTATCGCCGCAGAAGTACTGAGAATGGTGGCCACACATTTACAATGCGACTGCCGAACTTTCCAAATCAAGTTGAGTTTGATAATCAGTGGGTGGTACCATACTCACCACTACTTTCAAAAACTTACAAAGCTCATATCAATGTTGAGCTTTGCAGTTCTGTTAAATCAATTAAGTATATTTGTAAATATGTAAACAAAGGCAGTGATTTGGCCATATTTGAAGTACAAAACATAAATAAAAATGACGAAATAGCACGATACCAAATGGGCAGATACATTAGCAGCAATGAAGCTATTTGGCATATTCTCAGCTTTCCCATCCACGAAAGAGATCCTGCTGTCCAACATCTGGCAATACATCTTGAAAACGGTCAACGTGTATACTTCACTGAAGAAAATGTTCTCCAAAGAGCGTTCGAAGCTCCGAAAACGACTCTAACTGAATTTTTTACATTGTGTCAAAAACCTGATGTTTTTGGCCAATTCGCGAAAACATTGGTGTATGGTGATGTTCCACGTTATTTCACATTGAACAAATCCAGTAAAAAATGGGAGCCACGGAAACAAGGAAAACCACATCCTTCCATTACAGGCATATTCAAAGCTAAGACATTGGGGAGACTTTACACGGTACATCCAAAGCAACGTGAGTGTTTCTATTTACGTTTGTTATTGGTGAATGTTCCCGGACCAACGTCTTTTGAATTTTTACGAACAGTTAATGGTCGAGTATTCAATACATACCAGGATGCATGTCGTGAACTGCAATTGCTAGAAGACGATAACCATTGGGACTTAACGCTTGCTGATGCTGCGTTGACATCAACACCGAATAACATTCGTCAGTTGTTTGCAATTATTTTGACGACATGTTATCCCTCGCAAGCACAAACTTTGTGGGAAAAATATAAAAATTGTATGACAGAAGACATCTTGCACCGAATTAGACAAACAAATCAATGCCAAAACATAGATTATACACCAGAGATGTACAATGAAGCATTGGTCTTGATCGAGGATTTATGTGTTCTTATTTCAAATTTACCACTTAATCATTATGGTATGCCATCACCTAATCGTCCAGCCACCGACTTAGTCAATACCGATTTACAACGAGAAAATCAATATGACCATGGAAGTTTAGCAACAATTATCATGAACAGTGAACCATTACTGACAGCAGAACAAAAAATTATTTATGATCGGATTATGCTGGCTGTTGCTGCTGAACAAGGCGGTTTTTTTTTCTTGGATGCACCCGGAGGAACCGGTAAGACATTTTTAATATCGTTGATTCTTGCCAAAATACGGTCGCAACAAAAAATCGCATTAGCAGTAGCATCGTCAGGCATTGCGGCTACTTTACTGGATGGTGGGCGAACAGCACATTCAACATTCAAGCTGCCATTGGACGTTCATAATAAACCAGATGCAATGTGTAACATCAAAAAGAATAGTGGAATAGCTGCAGTGTTGCGGAAGAGTTCTATAATAATTTGGGATGAGTGCACAATGGCACACAAATATTCACTTGAAGCATTAAACAGAACTATGCAATATTTAAACAGCAATAATAACTTTTTCGGTGGTGCTATCTTACTTTTGTCTGGTGACTTCCGGCAGACCTTACCGGTTATACCTCGCTCTACTTTCGCGGATGAGATTAATGCATGTTTGAAACAATAATTCTTATGGCGAAGTGTTGAAACACTTCGATTGACCATAAATATGCGAGTACAATTGCAAAATGATCCATCAGCACAAATATTTTCCGAACAACTACTAGATATTGGGAACGGTAAAATAGAACTGCAACCAATTACGCAATGCATTAAACTACCAGACAATTTTTGCACTGTTGTTCAGGATAAAAATGAATTGATTCAGAGTATTTTCCCGGATATACAGAATAGTTATTTGAATCATGAATGGCTTAGTCAACGGGCGATTTTGGCAGCCAAAAACGTTGATGTTGACGAAATTAACTTCCAGATACAACAGTTGTTACCAGGCGATCTGATGTCTTTTAAATCAATCGATACTGTTGTTGATGAAAATGAAAGTGTAAATTTTCCGATTGAATTTTTAAATTCATTAGATATCCCTGGAATACCACCACATAATCTTCGATTAAAGATTGGTTCCCCTATTATTCTCCTCCGTAATTTGAATCCACCTCAATTATGTAACGGTACGCGTTTGGTCATCAAAAAGATCACCGGAAACATTCTTGAAGCAACCATTTTGGCTGGGAAGTTTAAAGGAAAAGTGGTCCTGCTGCCACGTATTCCGATGATACCATCAGATTCTACCATACCCTTCAAAAGGCTACAGTTTCCAATTCATTTAGCTTTCGCCATGTCTATAAATAAATCTCAAGGTCAAACAATGTCCATTTGTGGTTTAGATTTGGAAAATCCATGTTTTTCTCATGGGCAACTATATGTTGCGTGTTCACGTGTTGGGAAACCGTCGAATCTATTTGTGTTAGCTAAAGACAGGTTAACCAAAAACATTGTGCACCGATTGGTGTTACATTAAATTGAAAGTATTTATAATTCAAAAAAATAGATATTAATGTTTAAAAGTTTAAGACTGTCTGCCTTGCCTACCTCATTCATGAGTTTAAGCGTTACATGTTATTTACTGTATTATACTGTAATATACTTATATTTGTTATAAAATTAAATGGAAATAATAAATCTGATAAATTTTTATTTTGTACCTATTGATTTCTGCTTAATATCAAGTGTAAGAACATTTTAATTAATTGTGTTCCATGTACTTCCCCTTCAAATCTCAATCCAGTGAATTTGTATACCAACATCAACATTTTCGTCTTTGTTCGTAAATAATTTCATTGTACTAAAGGGTTATAGTAGTAGAAAGTCAAATAAGGAGATCACCATATTTTTTTACAAATACCATCTGTGTGAAAAAGCATAGTGGACTCCGTGACTGATGTTCTCTTATTGTTCCTCTTAGATTGTTTACTATACTGTAATATAACAAAAACTTTAGCCACAGCAACGCGTGGCCGGGTCAGCTAGTAATATTAGTATAGATTATCAAATAGTGTGTTGACTACTATTGTAATGTGATTGGCTATCCCTTTATTTATAAAAAAATAAAAAAAATAAAGACTCAATAGATAGGGGCCTTGAGTTTTTTATTCCCACCAATTCTTACCTTCTTAATCGCCAAAAAATCAATCAATTTTTAAAAACATATCATGATTTGATAAATCTGACCACTGATAGAGGATTCTGGAAGAAGAAAGAGTAGGCCTTCAAAATAACGAGATCCATATCACAGGAAAGGCCTTCCTTTAAGGCCTGCGACGCGCCTGCGACTCCTGTGTGGCAGACTTTCATGGGCGGCGGTAATCACTTGCCATCAGGTGACCCGTCTGCTCGTTTGTTCTTTATATCATAAAAATAAGTATACCAACACCAGATTAATAAGTTAATGTTACGAAAATATTTAAAACTAGCTGGTACCCCTGACTTCGTGCGAATTTGAAAAGCGTTGCCTTAGTGGGTTCGACCCGGACCGGACAAAATTTTAAAGGGTTTTTTCTGAGATATAAAATAGCCTGAGTTACTCCTTATATACACAGTAATAAAATATTTTCAAAATCGGTCCAACCGTTAGAAGATTACCCGCAACAAACAGACAGACAAAAAAAAAAACGGGTTTTAAGGCATAGGTATCGTACAAAATAATCGTGTGAGCATGAAAAAAAACCTATTACATTGACATTACAAATGGACACTTAATTTTATTTATTTGTATAGATGTAAAATAATTTGATCTAGAAAGAAAATGCTTAAAATAATAATTATTATCGTACTCAAAGTTCTTTACAAGTATCTTCACATCATTGCTGTTGTTCGCTAGAAGATTAACAGTTAAGTAAATATGAATTCCAAAATCATGAAGAAATGTTCACTCATAACAGCAAGCACTTACGATAACATTTTAGCGTAGTAGTGTGATTCAAAACTTACCATCCTACTTTTGACTGGTAGTGTTAACGGCTTGAAACTTGGTAAACAAAGTTAGACCAAAATAGATACTAAAACTGACTCATGTAGGGTATTTATTACCACTCAAGCAAACTGACGTGTACCAAATGTTATCATGTTCTTTGAGATTTTTAGCGTCTGAAAATTGTCACCAACAGCCTCTCTTTGACTGCACGGATGGCGTAGTGGTTTAAGCAGTCGCCACGCCGTTCACTATTACGCTGAGTGCTGTGGGATCGATCCCCACATGGGATGACACATTGTGTGATTCACAAAATTGTTGTTTTGAGTCTGGGCGTTCTTTGTGTCCGTTTCATGTATGTTTGTAAAGGCACCCCTCGACATAGGAATTCCTAGTGCGGCGGGAGCTGTCTATAAAAAAAAAAAACTTTAATATTCCACTGCTGGGCATAGGGTCTATTATACCACGATGACCAGACGGGTTAACTTGTGTCAAGTTTTCCTTTTCTTTGCAGTGCTTTTGTCCTGCGTAGTTTGCTCCCTTAGTCGGTTCTTACAACACCCACGGGATGAATAGGGGTGGTGATGCTTAATCCGTCACCACACGAACAGGACTCAAGTAAGCAGACATGTTATATTGTCATGCTCGTTGAGATTTTTTGCGTCTAAAAATTTAATATAAATGTGGTAGACTCAGACCTAACTGAAGCCAATGGCATGAGCTCTCACATTGCCCATTAAGCATTAAAGTTTTGATGAATGAAAGATGGTTATGAAAATTGTAGTACAGTAAAGTGCAGTTAAGTAGGTACAGTGAAAGAAGTAAGGATGTGAAAATAACGAGAACAGGAGTGACCATAAACTTAATGGTCAAATTTCATTTAGTAGCTACATTTTTTTTTTTTTATTAATTTCAATATTTGAACTACTACTTTATTCGCGGACCGAAATGAACTCCAAACCTTCAAGAAAAGATCGTACTCCTTCCTCAAAGGCAGGCGGCCCCAACCAACCACCAACACGACACCAACGGTAGTCACTTTCCATCAGTTGCCCCGATTGCTCATTTGCCTTTATATCTTGCAAAAAAAATGTATTGACTACATGTCTATGTATTATTATAAAGATTTCTCCAAGGTCATTGGGTGCATTACACAATAAAAAAATGATCTAGGCATGCATATCTAATGGGTATAAAATTGATTAAAAAGAAGAGACGATTTGATGATGTAATAATTTGGGTGTATTTGATTACGAATTTATAAATGTGTATACATTTTAGTCGAAACACTATAATGTACTCAACAAATGTGTTGGTATCTATACAAATAAATAAAATTGGAGTGTCTGTTTGTAATATTAAAATAACCGCTTTTTACTAAATGCATATGTATGTTTACACGGTACATATGCCAAAATATATTAACAGTTTTTACAATTTTTGTCTGTCTGTCTGTTTGTTCCGGGTAATCTCTGGAACGGCTGGACCAATTTCGACGGGACTTTCACTGGCAGATAGCTGATGACATAAGGAGTAACTTAGGCTACTTTTTTTAGACTAGCTTTGCCCCGCGGCGTTGCCCGCGGTTATAACAACAACCGCGGGTAACACCGCGGGTCTCAGCTAGTTATAAATATTTGTGATTTACTACCTTTTTTTTTCCGTGCGGAAATCCCTTCGGTGGGGCATGTCGGACTCGAACCCACTAAAACCGCGACACTTATAAACGAATAAATATAATAATAATAGTGATTTAATGATGCAAAAATAATGCAATTAGTTAAGTTACAAATTCTGTAAGCTATTGCGTGTGTGTGTATGTGTGAAAGTGCGCCCGCGCATGCACATGTGTATGTGTGTGTATTTGCGCGCGTGCGTGCGCCCACATTATAGTAACCATTAGTAACTTACCATGACATGAATAAAAAACAAAGTCATTGTTCATTAGACATCACATATTAGTGAATTATAGGAATGAAAGCAAAGAACGTGTTCAATAATTCACTATGCAATTATTTCTATTGAAATATTTGAAAACTTAATTGAACTGGCCGAGCTGGCTTACGACATTCCTGCGATTACAATTTGTGTTAATCAACCGAATGCCCGCCATGGTTTTCTGGTTCTTGTATACTTTTTAATTGGTCTAGATAAACGCGATATGTATGTTTTATATTGAGGGTTCCACACCTGCGAGGCATACTCTAAATGACTGCGTACGAAGGCACAATATATAATCTTTATGGGTTTTAAAGATTTGAAAGTGGATTAGGATCGTATTATAAATCCTAATGCCTTTGATGCCTTCGTAACAGTTGCATCAATGTGCTGGTCTAGGAAAAGTTTGGTATCCAACACAGTGCCCAGTTTAATTAAATGGTACTTTCTTTTTGTTTTTAAAAAGAAAACGCCCGCATTAAGAATATATCCTGTGTCGCGGGGGACTTTACAAACATACATGAAACGGACACAAAACACCCAGACTCAGAACAACAATTTGTGGTTCACACAAAGTGTCGTCCCATGTGGGGTTTGATTCCACAATACTCGGCGTAGTAGAAAGCGGCGTGGCGACCGCTTAAACCACTACGCCATCCGTCCTTCAGTCATGCAAAGCCCGATAATGTTGGTTAAAATCATAAAAAATATATCAATAATCATTTAAAAACTCGATAATGTGTACTTAAATTTATAAATTAGCATATTTGCCATAAACCCAGTGCCACTCTCAATTGAAGTCGAATCTAACGACACCTTAAAAACGCCAATTCCAATTCATCATGCAGTTTAGGATAAGGAACGTGCTAAAGAAGTAAATTCCACATACATGCATACATATTATACACTCATCATAATCATCAACAGCCTAATAGTTCACAGCTGGGCATAGGCCTCTTCTTAGAAATTAGGTTTTGGCCTACTATCCCATGTTCACCAGACGGGTCGGTACAGCGTTTGTGTCAAGGTTTCCTTCTCTTTGCAGTGCTGTTGTCCTGCGTAGTTTGCTCCCTTAGACGGCTCTTACGACACTTCCAAAATGAATAGGGGTGGTGACACTTCGTATTTTTAATCCGTCACCACTCGAAATTTATATATTATAATAATTTATTAAATTATACACTCGTAGAACAAAATCCTCCTAGAGCAGTCAGATAAAACCAAACCAACGATTATCTACATTACATATTAAAACGTAAAATTAGTATTATAAGTTTTAAAAAAAAGATGGCGGACAAAATCATTTCATATTTGGAATACTAAAATTATAAACAACATGTAGTATAAAGTTAATGACAAAACTTACCAATGAAATAAAAAGGTTCCTTCCAGGAGCTGTCTTAAAAAAAAACACCCATAGTACCCTAGTACGTACCTATTAAAAACTAAAGGGAAAAATCTAGTAATTTCAAAAATACTTTTCACCCCAATGTGGCTAAGTGACGATCACATTTCCCGTCAGATTTCAATTTTAGATCTGGTAATCCTAAATACGAGTACGATATCAATCACGTGTATAAAAAAAAACCTTCGAAAACTTCGAGAACATTTCT